ACTTTCAAATGGTAAAACCTTAGGAGAAAGGCGTGTATAGCGAATCTGGCCCACCCATTAGGGTGTGCACATTTTTATCTATGTATGAAAATTAGACTCAGATAAAACACATGCCCATTTATTAGTAAGAATGGAACCATATGACCAGGGCTCTGCATCAGAAAGTGTCGCAAGTCCAAGGAAGACAAAATGTGGTTCATACAATAAAGCATACACTCACTTCAAGGCTGCACTTTTCCAAAGTCTGCCTTCTGACTTGGGAAGGGCAGCTATTCATCAAAGCATTATCTTGATTCATAAGCATAACAGGTCACAAACCAAAAAAGGACTTCTGATCTGGAGCAGTGTGGCAGGACAAGTGGACCGTGGGTGTCATTTGCTATTGTGGTCCTTGTCAGTTACCTCCTAACATCCACTTCCCTCTTGTCCTGTGCCCAGATATTCCTAGGTTTTGCTTTAGGGGAAATACACGTGTCTCCTTGTAGCCATGTGGTTTGTGGGGCTGATTCAGATCTGAGTCCATAACCCCAGGAGGGGCAGTGAAAAGCAAAGGGACATTCCCCGCTGAAAGAAAGCAGCTTTCCTTTACAGATATTACTAAAAGGCACCTCCTCTCTTTTCCTGGATGCGGTAGAAAGAGGATGTGAGGCCTGGAGCTGCTGGGCCACTCTGACAGCAGCTGGGGCCTGCAACTAAAGCCAACGCTGCAGAAGACAGAGCTCAGAAGGAAAGAAACCAAGTCTGATGAGGCTGTTTGAGCCCTGACTCACGCCCTACCTGAATTCCTCCCGGAACTTTTCAGGTATAAGGGGTATGAATTCTTTTTTGCCTAAGTTAGTCTGGGTCAGGTTTTCTTTTTTTTTTTTTTTGAGACGGAGTTTCGCCCTTGTAACCCAGGCTGGAGTGCAATGGCGCGATCTCAGCTCACCGCAACCTCCGCCTCCCAGGTTCAGGCAATTCTCCTGCCCCAGCCTCCTGAGTAGCTGGGATTACAGGCACGCGCCACCATGCCCAGCTAATTTTTTGTATTTTTAGTAGAGACGGGGTTTCACCATGTTGACCAGGATGGTCTCGATCTCTTGACCTCGTGATCCACCCGCCTCGGCCTCCCACAGTGCTGGGATTACAGGCTTGAGCCACCGCGCCCGGCCTGGGTCAGGTTTTCTATCAGTTGCTATTACAAAGTATTCTAAGGGATCCAACTATTTACTCATTCAACACACGAGGTCACCTGGGGGCTACAAAGACAAAAAGCTCTTCAGAGAGAAGGACCTAAAATGTCAACAAAGATGTACAGTCAAGTTCCACAAGCGGAACACAGATACAGCACATACTGTTCGCTGGCTGACCAGGCATCAATTTCTGACCCCATTCTCCCTTCCCCATCTGTATCACAGATCCTAGGAAAGCTAAGTTTATTTTCACAGCCTGTCTTGCAATTACAGGTGGCCATGAGACACAGTTCTCATTAATGAGACTGGCACAGGAGCCTACTCTCAATCTGTCAGGAACATTTTTGCTTCCCTATTAACCAAAAGATAGACATTCCTAGACCTGCCCCTTCTCCTTTCTTTCTACTCTGCATGTAGATGTGTTACCTGGAGCTGCAGCAGCCATCTGATAATCATGAGGCAAAGACAGAGTTACAGAGAGGCCACCTGTTTCCAGCTTCTTTTTTATTTTTATTTTTGAGACAGAGTCTCGCTCTGTCACCCAGGCTGGCGTACAGTGGTGCGATCTTGGCTCACCGCAACCTCTGCCTCCCAGGTTCAAGCAATTCTCCTGCCTCAGCCTCCTGAGTAGCTGATATTACAGGCACATGCTACAATACCCAGCTAATATTTGTATTTTTAGTAGAGATGGGGTTTCACCATGTTGGTCAGGCTGGCCTTGAACTCCTGACCTCGTGATCCACCCACCTTGGCCTCTCAAAGTGCTGGGATTACAGGCATGAGCCACCACACCCAGTCCAGCTTCTTAATAAATTAGAAAAATAATTTCCTATTGACTATCTACTATTAGGTCTTCTGTTCCTTACAGGTGAAATAATTCCTAACTTACCAAGAAGTATAGTTATTTCTACCTGGGTGGCTCCAGAAAAGGCTTTATAGAGGACATAATCCTTGAACTGAAATCGTGAAAGATGCCTAAGCGTTGTCAGGAAAGCAGGGAAGCACGGGCATTCCAAGCAAGAGATAAAGCCTAAATGAAGGAACAAAACCCGACACACATTTTGCCCACTTTAAGTATTTCCACAAGGGAAAGCAAGAGAATAGGACCAGGGAAACAGGGGGCTTGCGATCCAGCCTGGAGACAGAGCAGCCAAAGAGGGTCCTGCAAGCATGCAGAGCAGGTACATTGGAGTCTGTTCTCTAAGCCGTGGCCCGTGAGCAGGGCAAGCTACCAGACACTCTGGCTCTCCACATGTTCCAAAGACATTCCCTTTCATTTGGCCAGTCGCGCCGATGTTCCAGGGGGTTACTACACTGAATCTCAGGCAGTTCTTCTTTCCAGGGTTCGATGAGACCAGGTACAATCCAGGTGATGAAGGAGTCACTGGGACACACAGGGCTTACCTCTCTAGCTAAAGTCTCCAGAAAACCGTCATGAATATGATTACGTAGATGGTGTGTAGTACATAAAATTAGATTTTTAAAAACACTCCATGACCACACTGGGCAAGAGCAATGGCACCAGGGTGCCAGGCAAGACTCAGCTAGCTGTTCGCAGGGAGCTCCGCCACAGGAGCCACAGGACCCTGAGGGTGAGACAGACGCACTGCCCAGGAAAGGGATGCTTGCAGAAGATTCGGGGAATAGCGCCTGCCCAAATTTAGACTTTTATACTTTCACCCAATCTGTCTTTTCTAATGTTTTAACAGCCAAGGGACTAAAATGCGAATGTTATGGTACTTTTCAACGTGCTGTTTGAAAACACAGGTGGAAATGTCTCCAAGAAGAAAACAAAGATGCACGGAGCACTTCTTCGGCGCCAGGCACGGTTCTCTGTGCCTCCGTGTGCCTCTGCTCAGCTGAAACAAAACCAAGCCACCCTGCAGGGGGCACTTCTTAAGCCTGGCTCAAAGATAAAGAAAACGAAGCATAAAGGGGCTGCTTCTTTACCAAGGCCACACACAAGTGAGAGTGAACCCACGGCCTCTGGCTTCAACTGCAGGGCCGCCTGGCAGGCTGCAAGAACAAACACGCTTCTTCCTTGGTTCCAATGACCTGCATGGACCAATCATCCCCAGCTTCACCGACAAGAAGCCTGAGCTCCCAGATATCTACACACAGCCCCAAACACCCAGAATGTTCTGTAAGCTTCATAACATTCTACCAGGCAAGGTTTTCTAAATTTAAAAATGATTGAAGTCATGATGCAAATATAAAATTAATAAGAAAGGCTTTTCTAGACCTTAATCTTTAAAAAATGAATCATGCCCTTAATCCCAAGTCAAATGTGTTAGCTCTAAGCCTTACTCATGGAAAAGCCTGAAAGGCCCCTTCCTCCGCAGCTTGCACCGGTGCCAAGGGAGTGGCGGGCGCTGCACAGCAGTCACGGCCTTCCTGGACCCTCCAGACTGCGGGCTGCCAGTCCATCCGGGCATTCTGAGGAACGGCCAGACCATCTTCTAGGGCACAGCTGTGCCTTCTGGGTGCCGCTCCTTGCAGCTCTGCCTGGTAAACATCCTCAGCAGTGCCTTTCAGAACACCTTATAATTCCAGCATGGCCTGCCTGGGGCTGCAACCCACAGCGACCCTTTCTGCCCCCACTTCTCAGGAGCACACGAGTCTTTGGCAAAAAAGAAACCACTTCATTTGGCAGTACTAAACTTGCCTTCAAAGAAATGCAGGGAGAAAGAAAACTAACATTTCTTGAGCACCATACACAGGCTTTTCCATGTTACTTCATTAAATTCCCATAATAGCTTAATGCTATGGGTTATCTCTTAATTTCGGGGGCATAGTCGGGGGACAGGCGAACTGATACCCAGGAGGTTAGGTGGCTCATTCGTGGAATGCAGTCGGCATGTGAGTCAAAGCCCCATGCATGGCAAGACCGAGGGAACCTGGGGAACAACAGCCCAGCCAAGAGCGCTTTCAAGACGCTTAGCATCTTCATCATACCAAATCCTAAGGCTACCACACTTCCACCCAACAGCAAAATGTCAAATTTAACTGTTTCTTTCCAGTCTTCAAACACATCTTTCAGAAATTCAGAAATCGCTTCACAAGATTAGTTCGTAAACCTTTTGCAGGTCCTAAGCCTTGAGTGGTTAAGAAAAAACAAAGACCTTTTGCAAGGACCCACTTTGCATGTGCTGAAGGGTCTCCGCTCTAACATCTCACACCCTTAGGAGTGACAGTCACAGAGAAAGGACGGCACCCAGCAGGAAATCCTGGGAGGGCAGTGAGCAGTGGGTGCCATGGAAACTCAGGGAGCTCGCATCTCAGGAAAGGCGTCCTGGAAATTGGGCTCGGGATGCACGTGAAGGAATGGGGAGCACAGACAGAATGAAGCCAGGAGAGGAGAGTGCCCGCCAGGCAGAGGCAGTGCAGGGCAGGGGCAGACGCTGGTGAGCGCTGGTGTGGGTGAGGAGCTTTCTGTTCCCGTGTGGCTGGGGGTTGGGGGTGCACTGCCTGTGGAAAGGGAAACCACAGGAAGTTTGCAAGGGGGAGACGACATGGTCAGGCTGGTGTCCACCACAGTGGAGTGGTCGCAATGCGGACTTTGGAACCAAGCAAGGCTGGGTGCAGACGTGACTCTGCCATTTACTGGGCATGGAAGTGCAGCAATTATGGAATGTCACTGACCCCGATCTCTCATCTCTAAAATACTTACTTTCATGTCACAGGACTGCTGTCAAATTTAAGGAGATAATGAACCCAATACACAGTCAACAAAAAATGGAGCTCTTCTAAAGATCTGTATTCACAATCCAACTACAGGATGGTGTCCCGGAGGCAGCCGCCTTCCCCGCTCTGCAGGGCCCGTCTCACCTGACGATGGGAAGCTTGGTGAAGGGCACCGGAGGCAGGGTGAGGCCGCCAGGGAGCGCGATGGGCTCCATGGTCCCAGGACACTTGGACGTATAGTTCTCTAGGCTTTGAGTCACATCTTTCTTTTCTGAAGAGAAGATGAAAACAACAGGAAGATTTATTAAGCAAAAGTAAAAGTGGCTCACTTTCATTTTACTTGGGGCATTTCATGACAGTCCAATGAGCCCAACCTTCGGACAGAAATAAAGCAGCAGCGACCAAGAGACCAGAACGAAGCAAAAGCCACGTTCCACTTATTCGAAAATTACCCGCAACTGCTCCTCTTAAGGGCCTGTGGATAAAAGGGAAATTGAGTTAGTATCCTCCAGGAGACTTCCATTTTCCAAGAAAATAAACCTTTATCAAATTTCAAGAAAGTCTGTAGGCAGGACTAGAGAATCAGTATATTTTATAACTTAACAATACTTTTTTGGCGATTACTAGGTATCAAGCAAAATGCCAGAGCCTGTCTGTCCCACAGGAGTTTGTAATTTATCTGTACGACAGGTACTGAGGCAAATAATTACAAATCAACATTTTTTATGCAAATATAAAGCTTTGTGAGAAAAGACTGTTGTTCCCCAGCCCACCCCCATCCGTTTAACAAGGAGGAGGAAAAGAGGACACACGGGTGATAATAATGTCCACTTACTGTCCACGGCACACTCTAGACAGGGCATGGACACAGACCCCTTCTCACCCATAGCACGACAGAGCTCAGGAGCACCTGCTGTGCTCTAGGAGGCAGGCTGGCTCAGGAAGGCAGGCACTCCTGTCCCCACTTTGCAAATGAAAAACCTGAGACCAAGTGAAAATAACAGCTTGTCAAAGACCAAGTACTCGGCCCTAGACCTGTGGTTTTCTCACTGCAGTGTTTTAAAGAATGAAGAAAAGGATGGGATTATGGGAAGGGCGTGGACAAGGGAGTCCCTCCTTATAGCATCTACTTTCTCTGTGAAATACCAAAGTCACTGCTAATGCAGAAGACAGAGGACTTGGAGAGAAGAGCAGCAGAGGGACACACACCCAGGATGAGACCCAGAACAGCAAGGTGAGACTCAACTCCAAGAGATGCCCTGGTCTTTCCCTCTCTGCTGTGCTACCACCTTAGGGGAAGTCCTTCAAGCTGTCTGCATCCTGTGTGCCTGCAGTAAGAGGAGTGCCTACATAAGGAATTACTAAGGACAAATGAGATAGCGCATTCAAAAAACTGTGGCTGGCAGATATTGGGCACTGAATAAACTGAAATGATAATAATTATTATCATCATCATATAGCCACACTGGAGTGGACAAGGGACAGGTCAATAGCTGCAAAGTGAAACCAAGTGCTCCACTGAGGCTGTGACCATAAATAATAAATGGCAAGGAAAATGACTTCAAAGAGCTCAGGCACAGGTATTAATTGGTGAATGCTACCATAGGAATCTTCTGTGCCTAAGCATTTTGTTTTATTTTATTTTGAGGCAGGGTATCGCTCTGTCTCCCAGGCTACAGTGCAGAGGCACAATCTCAGCTCACTGCAGCCTCTGCCTCCCAGGCTCATGCAATCCTCCCACCTCAGCCTCCTAAGTAGCTAAGACCACAGGCATATGCCACCATGCTTGGCTAATTTTTAAATTTTTGGTAGAGATAAGGTCTCACTACATTGCCCAGGCTGGTCTTGAACTCCTGGGCTCAAGCGATCCCCCCGCCTTGGCCTTCCGAAGTGCTTGGGTTACAGGCATGAGCCATCGCACCAAGCCGGCATCATTCTTTAGGAAGCCAGAGAGCAGAGCAGAAAAGTGACCAGAATTACTTTTGAATACAACACAATAGTGTTAATCTAAAACATGAAAAAAGTCTTCAAGTAATCAAATCATTCTCAATCTATACAAATCTCCCAAAGGGCTCCAGCTGATATCATGTAAATTATCTAATTTGCCTAATGTTAGGAGAGCACTTACGGTTGAGGTATCCTATTAAGTCGCATTCTACCACCCCATATGCACTCTCGGTAAATGCTGCTAAAATGAAGAAGGAAAGGGAGCTATTTGTGCTGCCTCATGCCACTTGCAATGTTGTGCAAGAAAGGAAAGGCACCACAGTGTATCACTTGCCTAAGCTCTGAATGGCATTTCTAGACAGAATAGCATACACACTCAGTAGCACGGAGGAGGCTGCTTCACCACAGCATGGTCTGGCTGTGCCATTTCATTAGAGAACCCCCGTGTTTGTGCTCGCTGTCCTATGGAGGAACTTCCTATGTAGCAGTACAGCTGGCTACGAGCACACTCAGAGCTTTGTGGAAGGCCAGACTGGGGGTACTTCAATACGCACTTATTCCCCTTGAGGGGAGCAGGGTACACCTCTCTAGCTGTGCCTGGTGACTCCCTAAAGGGAGTCAAAAACTAATCTTCTCCTGCAGTGGAAAAGGGACCGTCACCTGCTGCAGGGGCAGAGGCGATCTGTGGATACAATCAATCATAAATGATTTTCAGCACTGCCTACTGCCCTGTGACGCTCCTGCTGGGTGCATGGAATGGGGGTTGCTGCTTGGCTTTCCCCTCCTACCATAAGACCTCATTGCCATTTCGGTGGGGTGTCGAGAGTGAAATGCTTATGCCCAGTTGTCAGCATGGCCTATCCAGTGCAAAGGACCCATCCCCCTTTCTCCTAGAGGACTCAAGTGTTGGCTATCAATCGTTGTCAGATCTATTATTTCATCAGGAATTACAAACTGGTGATGTTCTAATTCTCCAATTCCTCTGCACTCACAAGCTACAATTTGTCTAGAAGGAAGGATTTTTTCCTCATCGACCATTTGGTTATCCTGGGACACAGACAACACAGACATTAATAAATGGTTGAATCTTCCCCTTTAGTTACTGAGTGGAGAACTACTGCCCTATCAAACTCTACTAATGACCAATGAGTTGTTTCGTTTACTGTTGAGTATCATCATCAAGTGCTGGATTTTTACCTAATTGTTGTTTCCATTGGTTGTCATGACATCCTCCATTTCTAACTGATACATAATTGCACATATCTAAGGGGTGCAGTGTGATGTTTCAACACATTTACTGTATAACAATCAAACCATGGGAATCAGCATATCAGGGCTTTGTGGTTAGAGCACTCAAATTCCTCTCCTGTTGCTTTTTTGAAATACGCCTTTTTGTGAACTATAGTCACCCAACTGTGCACTAGAATCCAGAACTTACTTATCCCATCTAAGCAGAACATTGTACCCACTGTCCCGCCTCTCCTCGTCTCCCTTCCCCCTACCATCCCCAGCCTCTTCTAACCTCTATTCTGCTAATTCCACGAGACAAACTTTTAAAAATTCCACACCTAAGGGAGGTTATGCAGGATTTGTCTTTCTGTGCCTGGCTTTTTTCACTTAACATAATGCCCTCCAGTTTCATCTGTGTTTGCAAATGACAGGATTTAAGTCTTTTTTACGGCTGAATAGTATTCCATTGTGCATATGTATCACATTTTCTTTATCCATTCATCTGCTCTGCTGAATGGCACTTAGGTGGATTCCATATCTTGGCTATTTGAAGAGCCACACAGCCATACAGTTATGCCTTCGACACTGACTTCATTTCCTTTGGATATATGCTCAGTAGTGAAATGGAAGATCATACCGTGGTTCTATTTTTACGTTTTTTCAGGAACCTCCAGACTGTTTTCCATAACGGCTGTGCTAATTTACATTCCTACCAATAGTGTGTAAGGGATCCCTTTTCTTCACCTCCTCAACAGCATTTAATCTTCTGACTTTTTAATAATAGGCATTTCATATGGAGAAAGGTGATCTCTCACGGTGATTTTCATTTGCATTTCCCTGATGATTAGTGATGTTGAGCATTTTTTCACATTTTTTTGGCCATTTCTATGTCTGGGTTTTTTGTTTTGTTTTGTTTTTGTTGTTTTCTTTTTATTTTATTTTATTTTATTTTATTTTTTGTGAGCATGTGAGATTGTAAGGGCCAATTTTGAGAGAGAAAGTAAGTTCAGTTTCTCTATAAATTAATCATTAATGTCAAAGGCACACTGATGCAAGACCAGCATATGGGCTCCTGTGTCAGATTAACAAGGTTTTCTTGAAGCAATACCCAACCCCTTAGTAAAGGTTATAGAGATTATAAAAGGCTTATGAAAGTTACATCTTATGTTCAATATTAAAATTTTATAGATTGTTTATAAAATTTTGAAAAACAAATTTAATTGGCTTCATGCTATTTTATTAGGGTGCTATTAAAATAGCATGCTATTAAGTCTTCTTTGAGAAACAATATTGTTTGGAAAATTAAGTCTTCTTTCTCAAAGAATGAAGGTTTTCACCTTTTTAAAAAATCCTTGAGTTATCTCTTTGGTCAAATGAATAACTTATTTTACAATGATCTGTGATATCAAGTGTCTTAAACCTTTGACCTTTTCAAAATCAAATTATAAATTATGTCTTTTTCTGATCAATTTAATCATTGAAGATATTAGGTTCCCTAAAGTCCAAATATGAAATAATTTGGCTTATTTGGTATAAAAATCAAATAGAAATATTATCAAATATGAAATGGTGTTTGGTTTTCTTTAGGCTCTATTTATACAAATATGTTATTGGTATGTGTTCCAAAATCATGGGAAACTCCTATAATTCTGATATGACTTAATTTGTTAAATTATTGTGTGCCACAGAGGTAACAAATTTCCTTATCAATTTTATCTTTGACCACAGTTGCCCTAAAGACCTTTTGTCATCCACAGACAACTGTTGTCTTGTTTTGGTTCTCTTTCAAAGGTGGTTTTATAATGAGCTATAAAACTCTAACAGGTGCTCTTGAATACAAGTTTCTGGTGACTTTGGAGACTGTGACATCAGAATAGAAGAAAAACTTTCAGGACTCATGGAGAACCGAAGTGTTCAGGAATATCAAGCAAAACAGGAGTTAACTAAAGGTACTGAACTAATATAAGACTGAAGTAATCTTTTTACCTTTTTGCTTAAAACATTGCTGATCCTTTATTTTGTTTTTACAGAGTCAAGGAAACTTTTCTTTTGCACTCTTAACTGCTTTTAATGATTTAGTATACTCCTATGAAC